ATTTCATTATTCGATGAAGATTCATAAACTTGGAACCAATTTGGGTAACCAAAGAATTGCTATAGAAAAAGCTCTTTCAGTACTTGTTGTAGAAACTGGGAGAGTCAATAGAAGTTTTACCGTTCGAAATATATATATGGATAAGTGTTCACTTTCCTAGTATCCACCAACCATGACTTTGGTCAGAGATTGTCAACAATTTTCTTAGACCTGAATTCCAAGACAACTTTACCTTATAATGTCCAATTCTGTTCGTAAATCATTCTTTTAAACTTTCGTGAACTCCTTCGGATAAAATTTATTCACAAGATTGCAAACGTCTTTAACCTTGAAAATTTTGTCACCATCTGTTAGCTCCAAAGCACAAACAAGAGTTAATAACTCCATTGACTTCTCATTAAACCTATTGTTTAACTCTTGTAGTTGAACATCAACTGTAGCATAAAAAATTTCTACTCGATAATGATGTTCAACTATAAAATGATCTTGTTGGTGACGAGCGCGACCTCCTTTTTCTCTATAAATAGAACTCATATATGGGATATCTATGTTGCGACCACAAAATGCGGTAGCCTCCATAAAAAGATTATTCCATCCATCATCTCTAAATTTATGTAAAAGTATCTTTGAACTATCAATAAGATGTAGTGAATTCAAAATATCCTGAGATTTTCGTTGTAATAATTGAGAAAGTGAATCAATATTTTTTAATATTTTCTTCATAAGATGTAAAATGAAGACAAAATCAAAGGAAGTCAAAATCTCTAAAGTTGTTGTCGCTTTTCCACGTTTAGAATATGTACTTCCTCCATCAATGAGTTTATATAGAACAACACATGTGGCACTAAATATTTTTATCAAGCTTGAAATTGATCTCAAGTAAGAACCCCATCGAGTATCACCTGCCCTCTACAAATTACTTGTTTGATTCAAACCATTTCTAGTTTCAAGTTGTTTTTGTTCAATCAAATGATTTATCTCATCATAATAAGATTTGTTTTGTTCGTCGATGCGCTTATTTGAGGCAATAACAACATTGATAATAAATGATAACTTGGAAAAAAATGATAAACAGGTATGACCTCTTTCGCTGCAGCTACTACTGTTAACTGTAAACGATGGGAAAAACAATACACATAGTAAGAAAAAGGACACTCATTGCTAACTTATGCTTGTAACCTATTCCACTTTCCGCGCATGTTACTTGCACTGTGATAACGTTGGCCTCGAATATTCTTTATGTCAAAGCAATAACGAGAAAGAACGGAAAATATTTCATCTTTTAAAGTCACTGCTGAAGTATTAGGAACATGAATAATTCTAAAAAACATTCTTTTACTAGACCGAAATTATCAACATATCGTAAAACAATAGCCATTTGTTGTTTTCTTGATACATCCCCTTCTTCATCAATAATAACAATAAATTGTCTTCATTAATTTCTTTATGAATTACTCTCTTAATTTTCTCTGCCAGAATATGTAAAATCTTATTTTGTATCTCAGGCGAAGTGTAAGAAGCATTTTTTGGAGCATTTTCTAATATAACTTTTCAACATCTTTATTATAAGAGGCTAATTGTTTCACTAGTTCAAGAAAATTTCCTCGGTTAGATGAAGATTCACTCTCGTCACGACCTCTCATTGGTAGCCCTTGTAAAGCTAGCCAACACAATACATCTATAGAGGTTTCAACTCTAAGCCTATTATTAGCAATTTGTAATGATGTTTGCTTATGCAACACTTGTAGTAGGTGTCTAGATTGGTTAAGAAAATTCTCTAATTCTTGCTAAATAATTTTATGAGGTGAATTAGGTTTTGAACCTACATGCATCTTAAAATAAGAAATTTTTTCCTTTACTTTCATCCAATTTCAAAACCCATTCATTGTGAAAGTCTTGTGCGATGGATGACTATATGGTTTGTTAAAAAGAAATCAAATAAAACAGAAGGTAACATCTTTTTCAGGAGAATATTCTAACCATGAACGAAAGTTTTTGTACCAGAAAGCTGGAAATCGGCGAGGGTGAGAAACATGTCCAGATTTTTTTAATTCAGAGACTACTAGTTGATATGGACCCTCAGCAATATAAGCTCTTCGAATTGCATTTCTTTCTTGTTCAGAATGATATTCTCATATTTACTTGCGCTTACCAGGATCTCGCTCCAAGTAATTAGAGTTGGTACTTGGTTTCTAATTTCTAGCTATCTTTAAAGGTCTATCTTACGAAGGTGAAACGTCAATAGATGTATCAGTTGAAGTTTCAGTTGTTGTACTTGTATTTTTCTAAGTTTCTCTGCTTTTTCTCTTAAAAACTCAATAATTGTTGGATTTTTTTTCCATGGCAAGCTGCATTTATATAAAATTAATTCACAAACATAAAAAAATCAAATTTAGTAATTATCATTCACCTTAACAATTATTAGATTAACTAAAAGAATACTAAAATTAAATATAAGATCAAATAATTCTAATTAAAATAATAATAAATATAATATTATTTAATTATGTATAACCTTTAAAAAATGAGTGTCGAACAATGGAGAATCATATTAAAGCAATATTGGAGGAGCTTTAGTCGATGGGAGGGTGATTAACTCAAGGTTTTTCTATGAAATTTTTTAATATTTTACTCTATTTATAAGCCTTTTGTTGGTTCCTACAATTATATTAATACTAGGGTAAAAAAACATAAAATTGGACCAGGGGCCGGGATCCCTTGGCCCCCAAAGGCCCTCAGTCTCTGCTTCACTGTATATTAAAAGTTCAATATTCTCATCATAGATCTCATAGATCGAAACGAATCCATGTTGTTACACCCTGGTCGGATGACCTTTTCATAGCATCTTCACATTCACAAATGATGTACCTCCATCAAATTACCTTTGCATAACCTTTTTTTCTCCGAAGCGTTTAGAGTACCCTTCACAGTTAAGTTTTCAAGCGTATTGAAACGATATTGAATAATCACTTCATCTCATTAGTTCACGCTCAAAACAAACATTTTGAAGATTTTCCATTTAGAAAATTATATTTTATTAGATTCGGGTTTTCGAGATTCGGGGCATTGTAATATGATTACGTATCGTTGCTACAATAATGTGATTACGTATTATTGCTCGTTAGAGAAATAAGGTATTAATGAGTTATAGAGAACTCTCCTTGTGGAGATTAACAGATAGACGAGAAGACAGCTTATAGCCTATCATGAATTCCATATAAGAAATCAAAGACAGAAAAAAGAGAGTTAATCTCAGTCTTTTATTTCTCTCAATCTAACAATCTTAAAAAAAATGTAAAATTAAAATACTTTTACACAGTATAAATTGATCATAACCCTATATATATATATATATATATATATATATATATATATATATATAGGTAAAATAACTCACTGGGTAGCTCAACTAGCAGCTTGTAGTACAGACATTCAATCGAATAGCTTTCACAACCCAAATCGACTGCTAAGTACATAATCTTTTTTTTTAAGAAAGAGTAATGATCCAACGAAATTAGTTTTAAAAAGCACGCTTAAGGCGCGGGGCACAGGTGGGCGTCACCTCCGGCGGAACAGACGAGGCGGTGAACATCGGGCACACGCTTCTAGCGCTTTTAACACTTTTCACGTAGGTGTAAGCACTGTGATTCTTGTACCTATGGGAGGGGGAAATTAATAGTAAAACATCGTGCTTCCATCTATAAACTCTGACCGGAGAAAGGATGTCAAAACTAATGACCAGCAAGTTGTGGGATGCAAAGAGGTTAAATGAGTTTTTTTATGGTTTCTTCAGAAGAAGAAGGTAAAAGTTGATAAAGAAAAAAAAAACAAGGAAAATAGGTAACTTGAGAGTTGTATGGACTTTATATAAAAAAAAGTTTGGCCTAAGAAAATGAGATTTTAAATTGAAACTTGTTATTGAGGTTACTTTTAAATTAATGATTATTTTTAAATGTTCAAGAATTTAAAAGGGGATTTTTTTCAACTGCATTAAATATTATTAGTTATAATTATTTTTCATTAATAGATAATGATAAATTTATGAGAGATTTGTTTTCATTGGAAGTTGTAATTTATTGTTGAGAATATTTATATAATATTGTTAATGAATTTTAAATAATAATTCATATGGTTATTTTTGTTTTTAATAGAAAATTGACTTAAATTAAATTTTATATAAATACAATTTATTTTTTTAAATTAAATTTGAAAAGTAAATCATATTAATTTTTATAATGTATTTAAACATTATATTTTTACATATTGTATATCATGTATAAACACATTAATTGAATTTTGTTATATTATTTTAAATTTTAATTTATTTGAAAATAGATTCAGGGTCATGATATTGAACTATGGTTGTTTACACTATTAGTGTTTTAGTATTTAACTATGCTTTCTTTTATTTGAACTATGGTTGTTTACACTATTAGTGTTTAAGTATTTGAACTATGATTTCTTTTATTTGATTTATGTTTTGTTATGTTAATGTGTGTTTTTAGTGTAATTATACTGAATATTTTTATATTTAAACATCTATCATATATTAGCATGTTATTTTGAGTATAAAATATCTTATATAATTAATTTATAGAATTTTTAGCATAAAAATACACCTCACCTAAGAAAAACGAACACCTAGACTCTATGAACCCTTTATGCCCCGATGCGCCTTTTAAAAATAAGCCAACAATTCAACAGAGTGGTTTTGTGGCCCAATATGCCAAAACCAAAAAAAAAAAATAGCCCAATAGGGCATGTGAAAATTTATTTTGGAATCTACCGAGCAGAGCAGAGCACAGCATATCCAATAGCCCATGTTTCCCAAACACAGTGGTTGTGAGCCCCATCCCTATTCACCAAATCATCATTGTCCGACACAACCATGACCTTTCCGTTTGCAGATTAGATTATAGAGTAATCACATTGTGGTACCCTATAAAAGATTTAAAAAAAGTAATAAATGCTACATTTAGTTTGCAGATTAGATTATAGTCATCACATTGTGAACTTTATTCTACCAGAATAAAAACAGTTTATAGCAATGCCATACACTTGGTTTACCTAACATGAAACCAAGTAATATATACTAGAAAACAAAAACAAAGAAACAATAAAAAAAAAAGTGAAACCAGTGCTCCAGTAGGAATAATAATTGAAGTAGCCACCACCGAAACCTCCCACACCAGAAAGCTACTGCAATAACAAAACTGCCACTACTAAACCAAGAAACAATGTAGATTTCATAGCTCCATCCGATGTTAAAGAAACCGAACCCGATTCCGGCAAAGAACCAGACCGTGCAAGTGCAAAACCAGGGCCAGGGGCCAACATACCGTCTGGATTAGGAGGGCTGGGGATTGAAGGGATAGTGGGGATCGACGAATCAGCCGGAGCCGGTGCCATGCCTTTAGGAGTAGGAAGCAAAGGTTCAATATCCGGAGATAAGCTCGGAGCAGACGATAGAGGAGCAAACGGCAAGAATGCCGGTGCAGCCGATATAGTTGAGTATTGAACATGGAGCTGAGACGAGTATGAACTTGAAGCTAGTGAACAAAAACCAGCCATGAACAAAATGAATGACCAAATGGTAGCACTAGCCATCGAAAGATCGAGATTGGTATCCTCCAACTATGGAAGTTTTGAATAAACGAATATGTAGAAAAGAGAGATTAGAGTATGAAAAAGGAGAAGAATGTGATGAGATTGATGATAAGTGGGTTTTAAAAAAATCAGTGCTCGGTGGGAGAAAGAGGATACAGATGAAGTTTGTGTATATGTTCACAAAATACGGTTGGCAAAACTTGATTTTTATGGTGAAAATACAGCTCCACTGACCGGCTACACGACAATGTGGATATGTAATTTTGTTTAGGCAGGAGCACATGAACACAGGCTGTCTTTTGTATTTGGTTTTTCATTTTCATTCCATCCGTGACACACTTGTGTTTTTCTTAACACGCAAAGCCTATCATAAAGGTTAAAAGTTGAACCGGAGGCGGAGATAGAGCTTAAAGTTGAAGTTAGTATGTATTTAATTGGCCCGAGTAATAGTTTATGTTTCCTAACTTTGTAATATAAAAATCTGTAGTAGTGACTGATTTGTATGATTGTATTGATGCTTAATCATAAATGTTAGTGATTAGTGAATAATTGTGATTTGATTTGAGAAACATAGATAGAAGAAAAAGAAAAAAAGAAGTAACAAAATTTCATTCGGCAAACGGAGAAGTTTTGGATTTTTGTTATGATTTGTGAGCAGTGTCTTGTATTTGAATTATAGGATATTTCAAACTATTTCCTAACGTTATTTATCGGATTCTCTCTATCATTAAATTTGTTCTTTGTTAAATTTTTTATTCAATTTTTTCAAAATTTTGACTCTTTATTATTTAAATTTTTTATTGATAAATATTTTAAAAAATTTAAATCAAGTAGTTTTTAAATATATATTTTTTAAAATTTAATTATTTTAAAATTTTAAAATAATCATGGTCAAAGTTTAGAAATTTTAATTTTTAAAAGATCAATAATATACACATTTAATGGAACAAAAAGTATAAATTATACTTCTTTCGTCTCATAATTCTTTATCTCATGTTAATTAAATATAATTTTTTGACTACATATTATGTTACATAAAATGAATGAAATTATAATAAGAATTTAAAAATGATTGATAGATTTAATATATTTATTTGATAAGAGTAAATAAGTGAGACATGTAAGGATAAAAAGTGAAATATTAAAATTGTTTTTGTTGACTTTTTAATAGGATATTTTGAATAATTTAATTTTAAAAATTAAAAGGGTCAAATTTAGTGAGATGAAATAGTATATAAGAACCTATGAGAAAAATTATTAACATGTAACTTGTTTCGATTATATTAAATATTAAAATACATTTGTTGCTCATATTATTTTTGGTGTCTATCCTAAAATTTTATATATATCCACCCATATGATTTTTTTATTATTAATATATCTCTAAAAAATATTTTTAGATTCATCACTTCATATCATTAAGCTTTTATTAGTGAATGATAATATGGGATTGCTAATTTGACATAAAAATAAAAATAAAATCAGAAAAAATATAACGACCGGGAAAAAAATACTCCTTATCATATTGATTGGTTTGAGGGTTGAAAATAAATGGATAAAAACCCATGGAGTTCTGGTGTGACCCACCTAAAATAATACTAATAAAAAGCGTGACCAATAAAAAATGTTACAGGTTAAGAGCGGAACATAAAATGTTATAAGTTGAAACTAAAAATTTATCAGTCGGAATAACATAACATGTTGTACTAAAATGTTATACAAGGTAATAAGTTATAAACTGTAAACATTATTAATACAATTAACATTTTAGGTTGTGCCTAAAAAGTTACCAGAGTTTAAGCTGATGGCACCTTAGACATTCTCACGATAAGAAAATAAGTTAAATGCTTAAAAATTATAAATAAATATAAAAAAATACGGTTGCACTCAAGACTATCATGATTCACTAAGAAAATAGGTTGCAATATGGAATATTAATATTTTTAATAATAAAATGTGATGCACCTAAAATGTGATGCACCTATACAAAAACTATTGATACTTAATGTTTACGCCTATTATCATTAAATCAGTAGATTTTTACCGTTTACATTGTAAATTTACCTATTACTTTAAAGTAATCGGTTTCGAAAGTCCAAGTATTGATACTTTATATATGTGTATCGATATTTTTTGCGTGCAAATTGTTTGAAATGCATACTGGAATAACAATATTAATACATATATAATAAGTATTGATACTTTATCTTTACGCCTATTATAATTAAACTAGTAGATTTTTACCATTTACTCTGTAAATTTACATATTACTTTATAGTAATAGGTTTTGAGATTACAAGTATTGATACTTTGTACATGTGTATCAATACCTTTTGCGTGCAAAATGTTTGAGAAGCAAATTGGAATAAACGTATTGATACTTGATGTTGACGCCTATTATCATTAAACCGGTAGATTTTTAACGTCTACATGGTAAATTTACTTATTACTTTAAAGTAATCTATTTTGAAAGTCTAAGTATCGATACTTTATATATGTGTATCGATATTTTTTTGCGTGCAAATTGTTTGAGATGCATACTGGAATAAAAGTATCAATACTTATATAATAAATAGCGATACTTTATATTTACTCCTATTATCATTAAATCGGTAGATTTTTACCGTTTACATTATAAATTTACCTATTACTTTAAAGATATAGGTTTCGAATTTATAAGTATTGATACTTTATATATGTGTATTGATACTTTTTGCGTCCAAATTGTTTGAGATCCATACTGGAATAACAGTATCAATACATATATAATAAGTATCGATTCTTTATATTTACTCCTATTATCATTAAATCGGTAGATTTTTACCGTTTACATTTTAAATTTACGTATTACTTTAAAGTAATATGTTTCAAAATTCTAAGTATCAAAATTTTGTTGCCGAAATTATAAAAATCGTTACTTTAATAATGTATATCGATACATTTGGCATGCCAATTGTTTTACAAGCATACTGGAAATTGGAGTATGTGTACAATACTGGAAAATGGCATAATTTGAGGTCGAAAAAAGGCCACATAGAGCTTAGCTCAATGTGGACAGTGTGCGCGTCGAAAAGAGCTTTCTGGATTGGGGTCTTATGCGTGATTCTGACACCCGTAGCCAAAGCTATGGCCAAAAGACTGAAGCACACTTAAAACGGCCCCAATGAGGTACATATCACAATCAATTCCCGCCTTTGCGCTGATCTGCCAACTCATGGTATCTCAGCGCCATCAAGGTGAAATCTGACAGCTCAGCATCATCTGTCTCGGATCCCTATGCATCAATATACAACTAAAAAACCAACGTAATTGATTAAATAGTTAATCGATTAAAAGCGTTACCAAAAATATTATATGTTTTCACCCGAAATGTTATTTGTATTGGTAATAATAATGGTAATAATCGGGAATATTATCGTTGTATTTAAAATGCGTCAAAAAAACATTGACTTTAACATAACTGATTAATTACTATAAATATTATCAACCATAATAACATAACAAGTAACGCTTATGTAACGTAATATGTAGCGCACTTTTAAAGCTGATTGGGCTTTAGAAATCCGATGATAACAAAATTGGTTAATTATTTGATTCATTATCAATATTATCAACATATTAGGTAGCGCCTAAAATGTTACCAAAGTTTAAGCTGATGGAGTCTTAGATATCCGACGATAGCAAAATAGATTAATTACTGGAAACATTATCAATCATAATAACATAACAAGTATCGCTTATTTAATGTAATAGGTAGCGTCTGTTTAAAGCTGATGGGGCATTAGAAATCATACGACAAAAAAATAGGTTATTTACTTGATTTACTATCAATATTACCAATATATTACTGTGTACATTGTTAATTTAATTATTAATTCAAAGTAGTAGATTTCGATATTATAGGAATCGATACTTATATGATAGTATCGATACTTGTATGACAGTATCGATACTTGTATGACAGTATCGATACTTGTACGACAGCATCGATACTTGTACATTTACGTTTGTTTTCATTATACCGGTAGAAACGTTTACCGTGTACATTGTTAATTTACCTATTACTTTAAAGCAATAGGTTTCGAAATTGCATGTATCGATACTTTATACATGTGTATCGATACTAGATGTTTATGCCTATTATCATTATATCAGTAGACTTTTAATGTTTTTATTGTAAATTAACATATTATTTTACAGTAATAGGTTTCGAAATTATAAGTATGAATACTTTATATATGTGTATCGATACATTTTGCGTGCAAATTGTATGAGAAACATACTGGAATAAAAGTATCAATACTTATATAGACAGTATCGATACTTGGTATTTACGCCTATTATTAATATACCAGTAGACTTTACCGTTTACATTGTAAATTTACATATAACTTTAAAGAAATCGGTTTCCAAATTCCGCGTATCGATAATTTATACATGTGTATCGATATTTTGTGCGTGCAAATTGTTGAGAAGCATACTGGATTAAAAGTATCGATCCCTATACAAAAACTATTGATACTTAATGTTTACGCCTATTATCATTAAACCAGTAGATTTTTACCGTTTACATTGTAAATTTACCTATTACTTTAAAGTAATCGGTTTCGAAAGTCCAAGTATCGATACTTTATATATGTGTATCTATATTTTTTGCGTGCAAATTGTTTGAAATGCATACTGGAATAACAATATTAATACCTATATAATAAGTATTGATACTTTGTCTTTACGCCTATTATAATTAAACAAGTAGATTTTTATCGTTTACTCTATAAATTTATGTATAACTTTATAGTAATAGGTTTTGAGATTACAAGTATTGATACTTTGTACATGTGTATCAATACCTTTTGCGTGCAAAATGTTTGAGAAGCATATTGGAATAAATGTATTGATACTTGATGTTGACGCCTATTATCATTAACCCGGTAGATTTTTAACGTCTGCATTGTAAATTTACTTATTACTTTAAAGTAATCGATTTCGAAAGTCTAAGTATCGATACTTTATATATGTGTATCGATATTTTTTTGCGTGTAAATTGTTTGAGATGCATACTAGAATAAAAGTATCAATACTTATATAATAAATAGCGATACT